GGGTAAAAGTTGTAGCTAGTGATGAGTTGGCTGGACGCGTTTCGAATGCATTCTGCATCCATATATATGAGTGGACCCCAACCTATAGCTGTAGAGTGATGTGTTCCAAGTCTCTAGAATCATGGCAAAAAGGTAAGCAACACCAAAGTGGACAAACCCTCTCCTCAACCTGAAGAAGTTTGATGGGGAACACCCCAAATTCGGAATGACGGGATCCTGTATGCTATACTCAACCTCAAGAAAAAGAACTCATCCAATCTGGAATTATGTACACTCCTCCTCACTTCCAAGGTAAATTCCCCTTCTCCAGGAACTATGGGGAGGATGTAGAACAAACTGTGCTCAACCAAGGACCCAGGATGGCGCCACTCTGTGTTCGGAATTACGAGGAGACAATGGACACTCTTCCGTGAACAGTGTACTGAACTGATATTGATCAAAATGAAAGGCCATGTGCAACCCAACCAGATAGCTGAGCATCAAATCTAAACTTGTATTACTAGTAGACTTCCATGTGCACTGGTGTCTCTACTACTGACATCTGAAAAAAAACATCCAGGGTTGATTGGTTGGTTGTTTTGAATTTCGCGCAAAGCTACACGAGAGCTATCTGTGCTAGCCATCCCTAATTTAGCAGTGTAAGGCTAGAGGGAAGGCGGCTAGTCATCACCACCCACTGCCAACTATTATTTTACCAACGAATAGTGGAACTGACTATCACATTGTAATGCCCCAATGGCTGAAAGGGCGAGCATGTTTGTTGTGACGAGGATTCGATCCCGCGACCTGCAGATTATGAGTCGAGCACCCTAACCACCTGGCCATGCCAGGCCAACATCCAGGGTTCTGAACTTTCCCCACCACTCCAGCGACTGGAAACCAGGAGTGGTAAGAACTTCTTACTCCACTAGTAGGAAATGAGGGGGTAATGCACATTAGTGACCCCTGTGGAATATTGCTCTGGAAACAGTGCTATAGGTGAACCAAGTTTCCTAAATTTTTAATAGCAAATCCGACCCTGATTTATTCAATCCATTGATCGGCAAGGACAGGCAGGATCCCCTTCTGCTTTACTCATGATAGTCCACGAGTGGTGGTTCAGCTTAATACAATAATACCACCCAGCCTGCTTCTAGGTAGTCTTATGGAACACCCCATTTCTATAGAGCCTGTTGTAACCTAGATAAATTATATTGTTAGTGGTTGCTGGTGCAGAATTGGCTTGATGACAGCACAACTGACTGGACAACACTCGCCATAGAGTGGGATCCTGTGAAAAAGAGGTAAGGAACCCTGGAAAGGAAAGAAGAGACGAAATTAGTAATAAAATTACTCAACCCTCTTTATAATCCTATGGATGTGGGTAATATAGCTTTAGGGGTAGTCAAAAACCATGAGAGAAAGATACTACCAGATCATGCAAATAATGTGAAATAAAAGTATCAGGTGAGGTTCAAATACCAGTCCATGCAATGTCCTCCAGCAGACAATTCAACCATGCTGCAAGGGGCATAGAATTGTGACAAATCTGATGAGATGTGACTCATAGAAGTATCCTCACCTTCAAAGAGAGCACGTCATAAGCAATGTGAGTCTATTTATGTACCCTTCAAGGTAACTGAAGATGAATCAATGAAAAGGATTTATTCCCTTCCCTGGCTGCTAGTGTTTAAGGTAAGAAGGGCCTGTCTGGGTATAAAAAGGTGCGGGTCGAATGAAAGAATGTCCTGTGCAAGTGAATCACAAACAACTTTGACTGTCGACATCCACAGGCCAGCAGCAACATAAAATAAACTGTAAAGGAAATGTGATACCAAGGGCTCAAAAGGATGTCGAGAAAGAGCATGTAACACACCTTGATATCCCATTTAAGTAACTGAAAAGGTTGTTTGGGATGAAGGACCCAAAATGACTTGAGGAAGCCAGAGAACACTGGGAACCCAAAGCATTTGTGTCTCTTAAAGTATCAAAAAGTAGCCAATAAAGACGCCCTACATAGGGTGATAGTGGAAAATGTGAAACCCTTGTCAAAAAGCCAAGTCAAAAACCAAATCACGGTTAGTACTTCTAGACGATGTGGGTTTAACCTCCTCCAATACATCATTGCCTATATGTGTGCAATTTCTGTTGATAAATGTCTATCATGGGACGACACAGAGACTGAGATTGGTACGTGGCAATCTTAGAACTTAAACCCTGATGCCATGCAAAAGACCACATAACCTTCATGCATGAAGCTTTAGCTTTGGAATGGATGTGTGAAAATATCGGATCATGACTGCCTCAACAGAGACAGTCAAAAAGGATGAGCAAGAGGTGGGCACTGCTGAATGTACCACAGAATTGGAAACCAAGGTTGAGCTGGCCAGTCCAGTGCTGCCAACATAACATGACAATGGGTAGAGTGAATCATTGTTAGAACTCTGGGTAACAGACGAATCAGTGGGTAGGCATATAGGTGCAGTCCAGTCCTGACTGAGTGCATCTATTGCCAATGCCTGAGGGTGTGGTACAGGAGCCCAAAATGCCAGAAGTTGGGTGTTCCAATAAGTGGCAAACACATCAATCCTCGATGTCTCAAACTGAGAGCAAATCCAATGGAAAACCTCTCAATAAAGCATCCATTCTGTCAGAAGAATCCAGTTTGGTCGAGACAATTGATCTACCACCAAATTCATCACCCCAGGGCATGGCAAGCTAGTAGGATAATGTGATGGTAGTTGGCCCAATAAAGAAGATACAAGGTTCGAAAACAAAAAGACCTGGATCAAATGTCCCCTTGATGGGAAATGTAAGACACTACCATGGAATTGTTGGAGTGAAGCATCATGACTTTGCCCTTCAACAATTCCAGAACTTGAGATACCACCTTCTGCACAGCAAAAAGTTCTAAAACATTGATGTGTAAAGAAGCATTGTCCCCATCCATAGACTCTGGAATTCCTGACCATTTAGATATGCACCCCATCCCTGAAGTGAGATATTCATGAAAAGATGAATCTCTGGACATCTATGTTGATCCTGAATAAGGAAATCTGGGAATTCAGAGGATTGCTGTTCATGATCTATTGGTCGTGTAGAGACCTCTGAAAAGGTCTCATGTGTGCTCATCCCAAAGTAATGAGGGATTCAAGGGCATACAGTAGTCACCAGTGCCACTAGCAGCATTCTGACTGAGTGGAGGAACCTCATGGATATGGGTGGAATCTATTCTGGGCACCAATGGCCTGAGGGGCTGATGTCGGAAAACCCGAATAGAGGCGGAACAGGGGTGAATTGTAACTATAGTTTCATTCTCTAGTATTCTCTTTTACAAGTTTAGCACACAAACTATATACATCTTCATATTGTTTGTACAAATTCCTTGCTGCACACAACAGTAGGATTTTTCTAAATTCTTTGTCACAAATAATGAATTACATAGCTTTTTTAATGTTGCAAGCAATTTGATATTTCATAGATAACCTATGAGAATATTTCTTGCCCCAAACATCACAGTGGTATATTTTCTTCCCTGTGTGTATCCTCTAATGTATTTTCAGATGAGCATTTGTTTCCAGTGTTTTATAACAGACATCACAACTATACCAGTTACCTCAGCTGTGAGTTGATTAGTTATTAATCAGGAATGCTGGGAAAATTTCCTTCAGTACATTACACAACAGTATGGTGTTTCACTGAGATTTATCCTGTGATGTTTTCAGCTATGTATTTCTTCCAACTTATTTGCCATAGACATCCCAAATGTTTAGTCTAACTGTGAATAAGCTGATGATTCTTTAAATATCAACTCTAAGAAAATTTACTTCCCCCAATACACAACAGTGTGGTTCCTCCCCAGTGTATAACCTGTTACGAATTTTTAACTAAGCATTTGTTCTAAATTCTTTGCCAAAGAAATCACAAGTGTATGGCCTAGCTCTAATGCATGCAAGTTAATGTTTTTTTAAACCTAAACAAATAGAAATTTCCTTAATACACACTACACAATATATACTTTCTCTCCATAGTGTAGTGGCAAACTTATGTTTAATCTGGCTTTTACATTCTCTACCAAACACAACACAAATAAGATCCACCATTTGGGGCAAATTAAATGTAAACAACCCATGTCAAAATGTCATAGAAAGGAAACTGCTTTCCATAAGGGTTGTTGTTACAAATCTTTGGATCTACAATCAGAGAAAGGATATATGTGTAGTAATTTATAAATATAGGATGCATTAAATGGATAACTTACTGATATATATTGAAATGCTCCAAGTGCATAAAATACAAACAAAAACCCCTAAAATCTTCTTATATGAAAAACAAAACAATGAATAAGAAATAAGCAAAAAAAAGGAATCTGAAGAGTACAGAACAGTGCTTTGATCAAGCTTTTTTTTTCGGAATGAAGGTTGTACTTAAAAAATATATAGTACATGTACTGATATGGAAACAGGTAATGAAAGTTTAAGAAACAACTTCAGAATTCAGTATTTTGTTCTGTTAGTACTGAAAAGAATTGAAGACATACAAGAGATTCTTTGAAAAAGCCACTGGACTTACAGCACATACAGAAAGGAAGTTTATATATAAAATGTAAGTTTTCTTATGACACAGCAAGTAAGTTTTACAGTGGACAATGAATGGTGTGAAAACACATCCTAGCTAGATTAAAAGTACAATAATTTATGAGTTAAAATTGAGAAATATCAAGATGAAACTAGTTGACATTTTTGTAAAAAATGATGTTATTACACTGATATCAGAATAATTTTCTGTGCAACATATATTTTCTAAAGTTGTATTTTATTATAAAAAGCTATTTGTACCAATGAGACTAAAAGAAAAGTTAAAGCTCACCATCATGTTCAACTACCAGTAGCCTGACTTGTTTACTTGTACACAATGGTTAGCGTTAATCAACTGCATGTAGTGAAACATGGACAAACTAAGTAAACTGTACAATACAACACACAAGCATTTCAAACATAACATCATAATTTTTTTAAGAATTAAAAACCTTTTACCCTTAGAAATAAAATTAATTTTTGAAATATATTAATATTTTCATTCTGAGCTATACATTTCACTGAATTATACCATATTAACTTTCCCCTTTGTGCACCATATAGAACTGACCAAAAGGATAACCATATAATACTACCTTTATACCAGTTGCATTCAACTGTCTAGATGAGCTTGAATCAATAAAGCCACAATCTTGACTAAAAGGTAAGGTATATAATGTATTGGAACACCAAACACAAAGTAAGTTTACTGAAGTTGTCCAGCCAGGAGTATGCAATTAAAACCTTTTCATTAGTTTATATGTACATACATAAGTCAAAAGTAACAAACTACAACAGACTTCATTATTATTTTAAACAATTCTGAAGAAATTAGTTGATATATTAACAAGATTTCATTTAGAAGTTATTAAGGTCCATATGTCTGTGTCTTCCAACTGGTAAAAATTACTATACATTTAAACATGTAAATTTCAGTACATTTAAATATAGCTTAAAAAAGTGTATTGAAGTACTAAATAATAGTTGATGAAATTCACTATTTTTCTTACTCTTTAGTTAAAATTGATACATTGTTTTGATAGCCAGAACTACAAGCATGTAGTTTTCAAGCAGTGAAGATACAAATCACATTTAACAATATCATTATTATAAACCAATCATTAAGATGCATATTACCTTATCATTAGTCACATAGAAGTAGCATGTTTAAAATAATCTCTATAGTTTCTATGCATTTTACCAGACACATCATGTCTATCTGGTTTCTACAAAGTGTACATTGTTATTAAGTGACTAGTCTTTCCAGATTCATAACTAAAACATTACAGCTTCTCCCTTTTTTTCTATTGTAGGTAATCTGAAGTTTGTTGAAAAATAAACTATAAGTAAATACACTTTTGCATATTCTACATGTTTCAACCCAGTGAGAATCAATGTTATTCTTCTGGTTGTCTTATCAATAAAAATTATTTGCCACAAGCTTCACAATAAATGCTTTTTAAAATCTATATTCTTGGAAAATTCCATACCACAGATATCACAACTGTTTCACTTCTCCAAAGTGTGTATTGTATGTTACTTTTGTCATCAATGATTAATTATTTATATAATCATAACTGTACAGTTTTTTGAGAATGTTTGTCTTCTGAAGTTCCTTTATATATGTTTCTGCTTAAAAAATAATAACTTACATACTGATAATAAAATTGATCATTTTTCCCTAATACACTAAATCTATTGTTTATTTAGAGATAAGCTCTGGAAAAATTACTTGGCACAGGTACTACATCTGATTGATTTTTCACTGTGTATGCATTTTCTGAAGCTTCCAAATACTTTGCCATCGAAACTGTAAGGTTTCTTCCCTGAGTATTTTATACTGATTTTTAGGTTATTATATTTTCTGAATAGTTTAATACACATATCAGAACATTATGGTTTATCCTAAGTGTGCATTTCTCACTTTTTTTTAAGCTATTACTTCTTCCAGATTCTCTGCCACAGGCATTGCAACAATATGATTTTATTTTTCAGTATGTATCCTCTGATGTCTTTTTAGACTACTATTATTTCCAAATTTTTTCTTACAGATATCACAGCTGTGTGGTTTAGCCATGGTATGAATCTTTTTATGTCTTTTAAGAATAGCATTTCTTCCAAATTCTTTGCCACAAACATCACAACTATACAGTTTCTCCCCAGTGTGAACCCTCTGATGCCTTTTCAGATTTGCATATCTTCCAAATTCTTTTCCACAAACATCACATGTATGTGGTTTCTTCCCAGTATGAATCCTCTGATGTCTTTTTAGATTAGCATTTAATCCAAATTCTTTGCCACAGACATCACAACTATATGGTTTCTCCCCAGTGTGAATCATCCAATGTCTTCTTAATTTAGCATTTGTTGCAAATTTTTTGCCACAGTCATTACAACTATATGGTTTCTCACCTCTGTGTACTCTTCGATGTCTATTGACATAACTTTTCATTGCAAATTCTTTACCACAGACATCACAGTTGTATGGTTTCTTCACTGTGTGTATTTTTTGATGTTGATTAACATAACTTTGCATTACAAATTTTTTGCCACACACGTCACAACTATAAGGTTTATCTCCAGTGTGTATAAACAAGTGTATTTTTAGATATGAACTGGTTGCAAATTCCCTGTCACAGATGCTACAACTGTATAATTTCTTCCCAGTGTGAATCCACTGATGTTGTATCAGACCTCTTTTACTCCCAAAGTCTTTGCCACACACCACACAAATATATGGTTTATTTTCACTGTGATTGATTTGGTGATTTCTTAAATTTGACCTTCGGAAAAATGTTTTGCCACATACATCACAACAGTATGGTCTCTCTCCAGTGTGCATTTTAAAATGCTGTTTTAAGCTATTATTTCTTGCAAATTCTTTACCACAGACATCACAACAATATGGTTTCTCTCCAGTGTGTATTCTCTGATGTCTTTTTAGAGAAGCATTTGTTCCAAATTCTTTACCACATACATCACAACTGTATGGTTTATTCCCACTGTGAGTAATCTGATGTTCCTTTAGATAAGCTTTTCTTGAAAATTTCTTGCCACACAAAACACAGCTGTAGAGTTTCTTTCCACTGTGGGTAATCTCATGTCTTTTTAGACATGAACTCTGTGAAAACTTTCTGTCACAAATTTCACAACTGAATGGTTTCTCTCCAGTGTGTCCCCTCTGGTGTATTTCTAGCTTAGCTTTAGTTTTAATTTTTTTCCCACAGACATCACAACTGAACGGTTTTTCCCCAGAGTGTTCTCTCTGATGTATGTTTAGTTCAATACTGTTTCTAAATTCTTTACCACACACAATACAATAGTATGGTTCAACTCCATTATGGTAAATTTGTTCACAATTTTCATTATTCTCCTTTGAACGAGCTTTGCCAAACAAACAACTGTTCGATTTCTGAGATTCACAGATTACTGTCTTTTTACAAAAAAGGTCTTTGGAGAAAGTAAGACAAGTGGGAAACTGGTTTCCACATTGGTTGGTCATGTAGGTCTTTAAATCTACAAGCAAGAGATGAATACATCAGTTCATAGTATTTAATAAATATATTACAATAACGTATGATAACTCCCAGGATAAATTTTGAAATGGTACAATTCAATAAATTATTAAGTAATAATAATTATATCATTATTGAAACACACATATCAACCTTGTAACAAAGCTAAAAAAAAAAGTGGAAAAGCTGTATGAAAGTTTTGTCCTAGAGGTATGCCTGAAGACAACAAATGAGTTTTCTATATGAATAAGCAAGATTATAATTCAAGTTTCTTTTTTTTCAGAGTTACTTAATAAACACTGGGAAAAGATTAAAACAAACTATACATCATCATGCAGCACTTATGTTTGTGATATAAATGACCATTAAAATTAAAAGTGAACTACTACAGTATATAATGTGAAACTATAGTGATAAGGTACTTAAAAAAAAGGTAAAATTTAAGTAAATTTACAAGTAACTTGAAACTAAAAGATTAATTGTAAAATAACATTACACCATACTGCATAAAAATTTCTATGAATTGTTTAAATTAATAAATACTTGATTTTTAAACACACTAACAGAAATTCCACCCTACAGGCGGCTGTTTGTGCTAGTAATTACTAATCATAGTATTCATATCTCATTGAATAAAATTAAAAAAGTGAACATTTTCTAAAAAAAATGATTTTTTTTTTTCTGGGAAAATTGTTCAGATTGTGTTCTTTGGTCATACACAATTCACTGCATCAAAAAATTTAGAAAAATGAACATTTTCCAAAAAAATATTGTTTTCTGGAAAGTACTGCACAGGAAAAGTGTTTAGATTATGTTCTTTAGTCATATGCAACTCACTGCACCAAAATGGTTCAATGTACAGAACTCAAAATTTTCATACATTTTACCGATATAAACCGTAATGTTTTTATATATTAAAAGTGGTACCGCTTATTGAAAAAAAAATGATAAAAATAATAACAAGTCTTTTAAGAACTCCAGTTTCTCAGTATTACATTGAAAAATTACATCAATAAAGATATAATCAAACCCTCACACACAGTCCTAGTGAAAGTTGTGTTCTTGTTGTGAGGAGAGTACTTTTACTTAAAGTTGTGTTTATTTTCAGTAAAACTTTATATTTTATCTGTTAATTTCTCTACCCTAACTCTATACAAAGTTGGTCAATTTGACTGATCTCCTAACCACAAAAAAATCTGAAATAAATGTAAATTACCCTCCTTTTCTTTCTAGAGTGACTTCAAATGTAGCATGAAACTACACTGTGAAACTACATTCGTTTATCTTAAGTAGCTTTAGACTCGTAAAAGTATACATCTATTCATAATTAAATTTTATTGTTTTATTGCCCTTTGAACCATGTCTAAATGATATTTGTGTCATTATAAGTTGTAAATCACTTGGGGAACATGCAGCTCATGTTATGCTATCGAATTACATTACCCATGAGCTGCTCACTTGTGTGCTTCGTGAAATATTTATATTATATTATTATTATTATTGTTTACTTTACCTTAACTAACCTAAAGAGATTTCTATTTTTACATTTTAGTTACTTTTATAATAATAAATAAAGAATAAACATGAAAAACAAGAAATAAAGTACTTACCTGAGAATTCTTTTTTTTTTGCTGTTGACTATCGATGTCACTTAACCCTACTTTTTTATACTAATGGTAGTATTTCATTAAATAATTTTTATTTAATTAAATAATTCACCAAAGAACATAGACAAATAACATGCAAAAAGCAGACAATTTTCTCTAACAATCACAATTTTTCTGGGTTTCTAACTATGCAACAAGAGCTGTTACAAATTCATCCAAGTTAGCTGAGGTCATTCCCGTGGAAACCAAAGTTGTATTCAGAACAGAACATAATATAACACATCACTTGATAGATGATAACCTTGACTTTCTATTTCTATAATTAAATGTAAGAGAGAATTATTAACAAATCCTGAAAGAGAGGATGAGGATGTGGCAAGAGGGGTCCAATTTTCTATTTGTTAGCTCTGTAACTAAACAAAATTAAAGGCTATAAAAATTATGGTTTGTCTAAGCAATGACGATTTTATAGTGAGTAATTTATGTTTGATTTCATACTTTTTGAAGGGGCAGTGGATAAAATAAAGATGAGAAGATACCAAGAGAAAATGTGTCACGTTTGTCACGCTAGGAAAAATTCAGGAATTTTTTAAATATTGCCTTATAAAAATAAGAACTCAAAACTTACATACTATTAAAATATGGATTATTAGCTAATATTTTAAGATATACTAATTGGTATAACATAAACAAAACATAGTTTAATACAATTTTTAATGTAAGACACTAAAACCTTGTGTCATGTGCAGTAAAGGATACCAGTGGCAAGAGAGTTAAGTGACTTTACATTGATGTTTCCATTTTTTTTGGCCACTACCTGTATTACAATATCATTAGTTTGCTTTTTGTTTCATATTCCAGTGAATGAAAATAACAAATCATGCTAGGATTCTACATACACTGAGTTAGAGAAGTTACAGACACTACGTCACGTATACAAGTTACTGTTAACAAAATGTTTAATACCTTAATCGTGTTTATTTAGCTTTTCACCCTGTTTTGTTTAAAAAACTAACACTGTCATGTAATTGTCTTATGATGACAAAAGTGCTACTTATTCTAATATTCAAAACTATTGCTATGTATGAAAGAAGTGGAATCATCTGAGTGCCAGGAGTAAGGTTAAAAACTGGCTTAGTTTCATCATAAAACAATGTATCACTTGAAAGATGTTTGCAGTACTCGTTTTATAAACAAAGTTAACATTATCCTCACATGAAAATGTATTTCAGATAGATACTCATCTCTCTACAGAACAAATAGTTATTTTAGGACCTTGCACATTTGCCAAGAAGATTTTTCCACATGTCACAAGACTTGAACAGAACTTCCTTTCCTACACATATTATGTGCCAACCTACAGTCTTCATACAATAGGAAGGTGACATTCAGTAAACCCTGTGAGCACTAGCACTGCAACAAAGGCTCATCCATGGAAAGGCAAAATAAAGGTGGGAGGTTCTGTGAAGAGGCGAATATCTACAGGAAATATATTTTCACATAAGGAAAATGTTCATTTCAAGAGTGCTTCTCACCTCTTCACAGAATAAACAGCTAGGATATTACATTCATAAGGTGGAGGAGCTGGTGTAGATAAAAACAAAATTACAAAGACAAGCTATATATATAACACAAGAAAGAGAAAACCCATGGAGCATGTCACCCACTAGTTAGGGAGGAGGGGTAGCCTAGTGGGTCATCACTTGGTGGAAGACCACACTTAAGTTGTTATTTTGTGAAATAGTCTCTTCTACCAGGTAAATCAGCAAATAAAAAATACAGACTTTTCAAAGCTCAGACTGATAATCACCATTCTTCTAAGCACAATGAATGATATGTAGACCACTTGAACCAATATTACAGAATGCAGTAGTTTTGTCATATTCAGTAAGTTTGGAAGAAAAAATCAAAATAACTTCCAATTTACTGAAGGTCCATCTATTAAGAGTTAGAGAACTTTCCCTAAACTGAACTATTTTACAGAATTCACAAAAACTGGTAGTATATCATTAGCTAAAAACACTGAATTAAAACAGTGAGGTTTCACTATGCTTGTTACAGAATCACAAAATCAAGTATGTATATTTAACTGCTTCTAATGTAGTGTAGAACTGTAAGACTCAATAAACATTAATACAAATGTGTAAGTGTCCTTGAGGTTATCATTTAACCCTTTCAAGACGGGTCATGGGTGAAAGGCCATGTCATCTTGTTTGTTGACT